AAACTCTGGCCTCACCCACCCAGCTATGATCTTCGACGTGCCACCTGCACTCTACCTTTGTTCTCCAACGATCCAGAGGTCACAGATGTACTGTTGATCTGTTGATGCATCATTGTTCATTCATAACCTGTTTTTGTTCCTCAATAAAATGTGAATTCCATTTCAAAGGGTTGAGTCATCTATATCTTCAGGGATCTTAGCTCTTGGAGGTCATTTCCGGTGCAACCCGCAGGGTGGAAAGACGTCTGTCAAGGACTATGTCAGGGACACTGTCAGGGACAGGGTCAGACCTGGTTGATGCCATGGTCACCCCACTCACGTTACGTCATCCCTTTACCATGTTGATTGCAGGCCCTACAGGGTCGGGTAAAACATCGTTTGTCAAAGCCTTCATGGAACATGTGTTTCAACCGGGGATCCTTGATCTTCCACCTCAGGGCATCGTGTGGGTGTACAGTGAATGGCAACCCATGTATGAGGACTTGGAAGTTCTTACCTCGAGGTTAGGGATACCCCTGACGTTTGTGCAAACCATGGGGGAAGCCAACACTCAGTTACCTGCAGGGTCTGGTGGTAAGACAGAGGGTTTGCCTACGCCCCGCCCCATTGGTTGATCATTGATGATTTGCTGGGCGACAATACAAAAGAGGAAGAGGATGATGTCCTGCGATGGTTTACCAAGAAAAGCCATCATCACAACACGTCCGTGTTGTACTTGACCCAAAACCTCTTTGCTTCATCGCCTCATCATCGCACCATTAGTTTAAATGCCCACTACATGGTACTGTTTAAAAACCCGAGGGACGCCTCTCAAATGGATCACTTGTGCAGGCAAATCTTTCCAGGACAGACGGCCTTCCTTCGGGAAGCCTATGAGGATGCCACTTTGACTCCTTATTCCTATCTGTTTCTGGACCTGAAACCTACCACGGCCAAAGAGCATCGTGTACGGTCCCATCTCTTTCACAACCCCACCACCCTTTACATTCCAAAGTGAAAACAAATAAATAGAGCCTGTCTCAAGTGTCCCTCTGGGTCCCTCGATTGTCTCGTTGTGTCCCTCGATTGTCTCGTTGTGTCCCTCAAGTGTCCCTCGAGTATGGGACTCACATGGTGGATCAGCTGACCCCCCCAGCTGATTTGTTTTTGACACCACCTCCATCCAACCTTCCTCTGGAACCCAAAAAGAAGAAGAAGGCAGCTACAACAGCCACAACAGCAGATACCCCCCGCCTCCTCTCTCAACCGGGTTCGTCAGTGGATTCACTTTTAGATGTCAACGACAGTGTCAACATGAGACGTCCATAGAGAAACAACAACAGAGAGTCGTCGTCTTTGTCTCCTGCATGGCTCCACCACACCTGCTACGATCCTAAACATCCTTCAGGCTATGGAGGGTGGCTTGCCTTGTGGCAAGCAGCAGCAGGACGTCAAAGCTGGGTCAAGGCCCACATGGGACGTTCAGCACTTTCCATCCTAAAGACGGTGGGAAAATCAGCTCTTAAAACAGGCGTCAAGATGCTGCCGGGATTAGTGCAAGATATCAGTTCTGGACACCGAAGTGTGGGGAACAGTTTGTAACATCATGGGAAACAAGTCTTACTCGCCACCTTGCGACAGCACCCACCACCAGGATCACCCGTGCGCAAAAGAAAACGGAAACAGGCTGTGGGATTCACAAGAAACGTAAAGCATTGTTTTTGAGAGAAGGCGTCATTTGGCTTCAAGTCGTCGGACAGTGCAGACATATCAGCATGAGTGCATTCGATGTCCCCGATACGGAATGGGTGTCTCAAAAGATCAGGCACAAGAAGTTGTATGTGGATATATCCCCATGGAAACCATCTGGGGATATTCCTTCTTCTCCTCTGTCATCATTCTCAGAGGATATTCCTTCTCCTCTGTCATCCTCGTGGACACAACCTGGATACAGCTTGAAGAATCCAACTCACCCCGAGTATGCCAAGTTTTATCAACGTGCGAGGTCGTTTCGAACATGGCCTATACAGATGGCCCAGTGTCCTTATGACTTGGCCATGGCTGGCTATTTCTATCATGGACGAGGTGATAGTGTGATCTGTTATTGTTGCGGCCTGAAAATTCATTGATGGGAAGCCACAGACCAACCCTGGCGAGAACACCTGCAGCATGCCAAAGTCCCTTGTGAATACTTGTGCCTGTTATGTCCTGAGGAAGAAATCAATGACAACTACAGACAACTGGTGGCCAAAGGAGAAGAAGAATGCAAGAGAAGAGCAACGTGCTTTGTACACGGTACACCACCAACCAGATGTCCCTGATCAGGCAGCATAAAGGGCCGTCCAGATGGAAGAGGGGTTCAGTTCAACACCAGACACGGTACGGTCAAGACCTGTTTTCCAGACCTGTTGTCCAGATTAGCTGTCAATATGATGCGCCAGGATGCCTGCGAATGTTCCAAGGCACAATAGGATCTCTTTCCTGTCTCTCCTGTGATGACTTTGGCCCAAGAAGGTCAGTGGATTCATTACAGTCCTCTGGCACCCCCCCTCCGGTCGCGGGTCCCCTCCAATTTAACATTGCTAACCCTGTGAATGCCTACATCGATGTCTGTGTTACTTCCTGCATCTTTTGTCGAATGATATAAAAAGATTGACCTATTGTTTGCATTGGTCGCAACATTCTTTTGAGAGATGCGTGGTCCTGAAAAGGACTGCTGGGTGAGATTAACTCACAGTGGGACTGACCACAGGTGTGTTAAACACTGACAGGCATAGATGGTCATCTTTGTTTTCACAAGGCACTTGCTTCCAAATGCCTGATTCCCATGAAAATCCGAGTTAGTGTTGGTCTTCAGCAACCCATGCTTGTCATAAGAGGTGACTCACGGGATCGGGTGATCAGACTCGCTGAATTGATTGACACATTCCATCGTATCCCAGTTATGTAGATGGATGCTCATGCTGTTGATCAGTGGATTGTCTGGTCCAGACTCGATTATTTACAGACTGCCACCATATAGCTGGTATATTGCTGAGCGTGGTGTAAAACTAACCCACTCACTCAAACGCCTGGTGTGAGTGTCCTTCAATAATGTAGCACAATAGATACACTGAAATGTGGCATGATAGTCGGTTGTACCATTGGCGTAGACAGGAAGACCTGCGCCATCTTACGTCACGGATCCCCTCCAATTTAACATTGCTAACCCTGTCAGTGCTTACATAGATTTGAGTCAGTGTTACCTCCGCATCTGCCTCAAAATCAAGAATACCGATGGCACGGATGCAGTTCATGATGGCGATCACGCACTCGCCGTGTCCACGGTGAACGACATGATGCATTCCCTCTTACGAGAGGTGTGTGTGCCTGTGGAACACAACCATTTGGAAATTACTCCCTCTATGGGAACCTATCCTACCGAGCCTATTTGAAAACGTGACTAAGTTATGGGGAGACAGCCAAAAGGACGTATATCCAGTGCCCAGGATGGTATACAGATGAAACTGGAAAAACATAGATGACTTAATGCTATCGCCCCGAATGGCAACGCAGGGCTCCTACGTTAAAGAAATGAGAATGAGCAGTTCTCGGAAAATACCCAGTTCTAGGAATGCCACATGAGCTGTGAAGTCATCGATGACGTCACAGTTATGCAATGTCTAACGTAAACACAACATCGGTAGCCATTTGTCATGGGGCCGTCACTTTCAAAAGAATGGTCTTATGCCCACTCTTCACAGTTAAATCTCGGGATCGCCTTAGTGATCGCCTTAGTCACGATCCTGACACGGGGTTACGAAGGAGTGCAAACGATTCCCCAAAACAAATGGATCAAGAGTATGGTGGACAGGAAAGCCCATTGAATGAAAACAACATGTGTGAGTACGTACCGTTACTGGGCATTGTGTTGCAAACTTTACAGCCACTTGAACCATTTAATAGTAGATACAATGAAATCACAACGTTGCTAAGATCATTAGGTGAATATATTGTGATATGTTACAATTATGATGTTACAGTTCATACCGTTTGTAAACAAGATATCAGTAACGCCCCTAATCCTGCATCTTTTGTCAAAGTGTTCTTGTTAGCGGGGGAAATAAACGTTTGAAAAAAACGCCAGTCTATCGTTGTTATTATTGTTGTTTGAATGTACCATTCTTTTGAGAGAGATGGGTGGCCCAGAAAAGGACCGTTTTGTGGGGTGTACCTCACTCACAGGGACCACAGCTGGGTCATACATTGGCATGGGTGAATGCCCAGCATTCGTTTCACTACACACTTGCATCCATGCGTCAACCGGTAAATATAGGTATCCTTGAGGCTGGTACCACAATAAACACACTTTAGGACTACATCATCGTCACCGCACGCCATCGTCCACGCCACTCTCCCTCCCTCCCTCCCTCCCTCCCTCCCTCTTCTTCCCTCCCTCCCTCCCTCTTCCTCCCCTTCTCTCTCCTTCCCCGTCCGTCGCCATCTTGAAACGCGTCCGCCATCTTGACACGCGCCCGCCATCTTGAAACGCGTCCGCCATCTTAGATCGCGCGACCGGAAGTGCCGCCATCTTTAAAAAGACCCCAGGGAGACGTTGTTGACTACACTGTACTGTACTGTACTATACTACACTGCACTATGCTACATTGTATACTATACTGTACCATACTACACTATACTGCGCTGTACTACACTGTACTGTACTGTACTACACAGCACTATGCTACATTGTATACTATACTGTACGATACTACACTATACTGCTCTGTACTATACTGTACTATACTACACTGCACTATGCTACATTGTATACTATACTGTACCATACTACACTATACTGCGCTGTACTACACTGTACTATACATTCAAAAGTATCAAATATTGTTCCCAGTATCCTACACGGGTCAGTCAGTACTGGTTTCAGTACACACATAGAGATATTCATTTGAAAGGGGAATATCAGCAAGTGAAACTAATTTTTCGGACGTATTCACGGCAAATCACTTCAGGAGCTGAACTCTCTCAGTGTTAACTCAGTAAGCTGGGGACTATGTTCTACAATGTGGCTGCAGGATTGTACTTGTGTGGTAGGTATCTGTCTTTGGCTGTTTCCACGAGTCCTATGTGTGTGTGTGTGTGTGTGTGTGTGTGTGTGCGTGCGTAATGTAGTACAATGTCTATAATACAATGTGTTGTGTTTATACACACATATTTATACATCGTGTAATCAAACGTGTAGATCGCTGTAGGGGTATACAGAGATGTACCTGACGCATGACACCAATGTGGGGTTCGTGGCGAGACAAGACTTCACGGCTACCCGACCTCTACAAGAGAAGACGCTACATCTCATCAACTGTATGACCGTCACATGGTTAATAATACTTCCTTGACATACACACGCTTGACAAACATGTTGGATTCACCGGGAAGCTGGGCCCTGGTAGTGCATCACTCTTGAGAATAGGGCACACTAATTGCAGCCATGTTGAACTGACAAATTAGTGGACACAGTTTCTGCAAAACTCCCATACAGGTTTGTTATAATGACAAAGACGACTGCGCTGAGTGAAATATATATTTATATAACCGCTCGTAAAAGACAATATCAGGAAAAGCGAAATAACATAATAATGGCTATATAATTTTACGCTTGTTTTCACGCACGTGTGCATGCTCAAGGCGCTAGCACATTATTTTGCCGCATAACCCAAGCTGCCTGTGAGGCGCTAGACGGTTAATAGTCATATGACCTATCCCACTGGGTACCCACTTACTGCTTGGTGAACAGAGGCAATTCATGAACACATTCACTCTTACCTAGGATGAGACCACAAGTGTCACGTGTGCTTCGTTATGGGACAGGAGTCCTAGAAATCCTCAAGAGTCGAGCTGCCAAACACGGTCACCCATCCAAGGACTGTCCGCGACCAACGTTGCTTAAATTCAACTTATTTGCCACCTGAGCTATGTGTGTAGGACCACACACCACCATATCTAGATATCATTAAGACCAATGTACATGTACCTAGCTTTAACCTTCAGATCAATCAGCGCATTCACCGACGTCTTATATATACGCATCAGTATCCGAGGCCATGTCAGGTACAGAGGCACATCTTACTGCACAGATGGCACATGTCACAAATACACGCAAAGGCACGTGAATTGTTCACCTACACAAAACATACGGCACAAGTAAAATTACAAATATTGTGTTGTGGCCATCATTGTTCACGTGACCACTAATTGGTCACCAATAATGACTTTATGCACCGTTTATGTAATATCATGAATATATCTTATTATTGTGATGTGACACTCGTGTAGGTGACACACCCACAATAATAAAGACTTAAAGGCCTGGTCCGTCACTAACCAGCATTGGTGGTATGTAATTGTTCATTGAAATATTAACACAAAATATTACATAACATATCATTAACAACTATATATTTGCTGAACTTTAACGGTGTTATGTCAGATGTTATTGAGTGTGCAATATTGTACAAATCAAATGTTTTGTGTGTGCAGTATTGTGAGGAAGAAAATTAACAATAATATTTTATTTGCAGGTCTCGTGTCTGCCACGACAGGATCTGATTATATCGTTGCACGTGTTGGTCATAACGTGACCATCTCCCTCAACACGTCCCAGGCTGGACAAGAGTATAAAGTCGGCGTGGAAGTTAATCTTACAGAATTTCTCTTTTTAAAAACTGACACTGAGCTTAACATTGTGCACAACAGCCATACATGGTACAGAGACAGAGACATCCCAGCGAACATCACCCCATCAGAGTTCCGGTTTACACTGTATAATGTCACTACAGAGGACGCAGGTCTCTACGAATGTCGGACGTTTGACACAAACAAGGGGATACCTGGCTGTGACCAGCTTCTCGTTGTGGCACGTGAGTGAGAATCGGATACGGTATCTGTATAATATGTAAATTCCACTTTCTGGAATCACTTAAAGCCTACTAATGGGCCCAGCTTGATGTAGAGACAGCCCATTGTGATGTATGTCTCAAATGTTACCTCATTGGTGAAACCCACAAGGTATATGTTTGACAAACGTATATACGTTATTGGGGCGTCTCCGCGGACTCTAACGTGGCCAAGGCACACCCTGAACAGTGCATAGCGCCTCATCACGACTTGCCCAATTGTTTATCACACTTAGATATTAGATAGCGTTTTAAAATAGCATGAATAACCGTTATCTGTAACCCATACATGTGGAATGGGGATACGAATAATGAGAAGGGAAATAGTGTGCTTTAAAGGGAGTCATTTTTGTATAAGAACAATTACTGCCTATATATGCATGTATTGGGGAATTATTAGCCACAGAACAATAAAGTGTCTGTTTCAACATTAGCGTGCGTTTCCACGTAGAAATACCGCCACATTCTATAAACGGCACAGAGCCTATGTAGCTAGTGATAAATCTTGACCAAATATCAAACGTTATGAATTTGGAAGACAAATAGTTCAATTTTGTTTAGTAAACGTCAATCAGTTATCGTAAATGATCATGACATCAGGCTACTTTTGTGAAAAATATGTGTTCACAACATAAGGAAGTATTAATCAACTCATATGAAATGCGTTGGATGTAAATCAGTTTTTAGAACTACGCGTGTCTGACCTGTGTCACGTTGAAGACACATAGACTGTGATGATGAGAATATAGAACAAGTTTTTATGGATAACAACTTCTTTATTTCGTGAGTGCGACGTTTCGATACAGATTCTTGTACCGTTGTCATCGAAACGTCGCACTCACGAAAGAAAGAAGTTGTTATCCATAAAAACTTGTTCCATATTGTACGTCTCAACTTCTAAAATGTCACTCAAACAAGTTGTGATGATGAGGTATCGTTATACAACTGACTGTCTCGTGATCAACATGGAAATGTGGAGCAAGGCGCCTTTGTGAAAGTTATAAGGTCCATTAACTCCCACCATGTGTACTCTACTCTACAAAACACCATCTTCTCCAGATGGGCAGCGTCCATCGCCCGTGTAGTGTTGTAATTAACCACATGTCTCACAACTATTATACTGGTTATTAGGTCATTGATGATAAGCAGTTTGGACTACTACAGTGTCAGGGCGATTCGAAGAATCATTGTAAAACATTATTTATGAGCACACGTGTTGTTGTCCGAGTACTGTGGTTTAACATGTAAAACTAACAATACTGTTTGAGAAACAATACACCTACACTTGCAGGACCTGCCTCACCTGTACTGGAAACATTACATTATATCCAGTTAAATATGATTTAACGACAACTTTGCCGAGAGACACGGCACGGTGTGCCACTGCTTGAAACCTTTTATTGTTATTGGATTTTATGTTTTCTTTTTTTTTTCTAAAAAGAGAATAGAGATAGTTGTCCTGACTGGACCTGTCACACTGTATCATTTACTCGAGAACACCCCCACATCTGGATCATCTACCCAGGGTAAATGCCGATGTTATCTGTCATTACAGAGAAACCTTCACAGCCGAGCATCACTGGATCTACATCAGCTGACTCAGGTGGGCGTGTCACCCTGACATGCTCCTCCTCTTCTCAGAGTCTCCCCCCCCGGACCACCCTCTGACCATGACCTACATCTGGAGGAGGAACAGTGAGAAGATTCAAGGAGGGGAAGACGTTCATGTAGCCGGGCCGAACCTCACTATGAGACACATCAGCAAGGCGGAAGACGGCAACTACAGCTGCCAGGCTGTGGAGGAGGGGCTGGAGTCTGACTGGAGTCACGGACACGACCTGGATGTTCAGTGTGAGTGAACATTTCAGTGTTGTCCACCTTCAACAGAATAGGTTAACACTGTGCCTTTAAACACTGTTCCATATTGATGTACTTACTATCTTGTTGCCTATACGACCGAATGCAGTATTTATTTATTTATTTATTTATTTATTTATTTATTTATTTATTTATTTTTATTTATTTATTTATTTATTTATTTATTTATTTATTTATTTATTTATTTATTTATTTTATTTATTTATTATTTATTTATTTATTTATTTATTTATTTATTTATATTTATATTTATTTTTTTATTTATTTATTTTTAAGTATCAGTAAGTATCAATTCCAATTTCACCAGGTACCGTCGATATTTGTAAAATATGAGTGGCTGTTGTTGACTAAAGATTGGTTGTAGATTCTTATGTCAGTGTGACTAAACCAGTTTCGGGTTTTATCTTCAAGATGTAATAACAGTTTGGATGAGAATATCGACAGCAAGCTCACTTATCGGATTGTCAAAATATTGGTTAAACGTTCGTATTGTTCAGATGGACCAGAGCAGATCCTGTTCAATGGAACAACCAGTACAGTGACTGCTGCAGCAGGCGCCCCTCTCACAGTGAGATGTTCCGCTGACTGTAACCCTGCCTGCACTGTAACCTGGTGGAACACATCCAGACACAGGCTGGTTACAGGACACAGGGAGGCTGTGTTGTCTACGCCAGCTGTTGACAGATCGGGACAGTACATCTGTCATGTCAACAACACACATGGGAATAAGTCGAGGAATCTGAAGCTTGATAAACCAAGTAACATACATATCATATCATATCATATCTACTATATTTCCCTGCTGGCCGTTCGGCGTGCACGTCTCGATATAAGAGCACTAATCTTTCACCCATTCCAACTCACCTCATATCTTGTATTTCATGTTTACATCCAGATGTTAAATTTGTTTTAGGAATTGTACTCTTAGCGTAAGCTTACTGTTTCGGAATCATTAGCGTCTGTCTGGATATCAAATGTAATATTACATTAAGAGTGTCATGTGTCCATTGCCCGAACAAATAGGGTCAGAAATTCGAACTAAGTAGTACCGGGTTTACACGAGTTGTTATGAAGACTTGCTGAGCGTTCATTCGCTGGTGTCAATTTTAATGTTAATTACGTATTATTAATTTTTTTATTATGTTCACAAGATTAATATTTGAGACCTTGTGCTGATGTAACCCAAATTTCCTTCGAGATAAGATACCTTGTGTCATATTGTAATGGCGTAGAGATGGATTTTTGTTAGCATAATTGTAAAAAATGCCTTTGATGAGGAACAGTACAAACTTCATACTACCTTACTTATAGTGACTGACTTTAGTTTTATGCCGCTTTTGGTAGTATTCCAGCAACATCACGGCGGGGGACACCAACCGTACGTGTAACTCAGTTACCCTACAAATAGTGAAATTCCAACACATGTTTCTGACATGATACATCCATCACTGTCTCCAGATGACGGAGTCGTGTACACGTCCATGTCGTCCCTCCTGGTGGTGGTGGTCGTGGTGGTGGTGGTGGTGGTGGTGGTCTGTGGGATACGTCGATGCAGGAGACTGAGAGGTAGGAAGGAAGTTGTAGTGAGTGAGTGAGTTACAATCACCTCGGCAATATTTCAGCAATATAATGACGACGCGAGTTATGATAAATATAATTGATATTTGTCACACAGGACAATAATATACACACTATTAGGACAATATTATCACAATTTATGTCTAAAAACTAACCATTTCAAATAACTAACCATTTCAAATAATGCAATATTCTATTTTACACAAATGTTACATATTACATTCTACTATTTTTAAAATACGGCCTGTAGATCACCAGCAACTGATTACCATACTAGGGGGAAGTTTGAACTCAGGACCGACAGGACAGTGGCCGTTAGACGACGAGGGAGGACTCACAGAAACAAGAATAACACTGATTCTCGCATAATGTACAGGCTGGATTTTGCACGACTGTATTTCCTGTAAAAGAATCTTCCTTCTTCCTTCTTTTAATCTTCCTTCTCTATTTTTCAGCAAACCGGAAATTAAGGTAAGAAACACATGAAAACCTGACTGGTACGAATGCACCCTTTTGAAGGATCAACCGATCCCTGCAAACGTCATGCAACTTGCATGTAAAAGTGAGTGAGTGAGTTTGGGTTATCTCTACGTTTTAGCAATATTCCAGCAATATCACGGCGGGGGACACTAGAAATGGGCTCCACACATTGTGCCCATGTGGTGAATCGAACCCGCGTCTTCGGCATGACTATCTAACGCTTTAACCACTAGGCTACCCCACCGCCCCACATGCATGTGAAAGTTCTATGTTATTGGTCTGTCATTTTGATAATATAGCATGCTTGAAGCTTTGTGAACATTCAAACTTGCATGTTGTTGAAGAAAACAGAGTTGATAAAGTGTTCAGCTGTTTAAATCCTTTGACACACACCAACACATAATATTTCATTAAGATGTACACACATACACTGATTTCACACACACAATATCACACACAAACTGCTTTCACATACACGTGCCCATTCTACTTTAACACGCACACACTTTATTTTCACACACACACACACACACACACACACACACAAAAACTGTTTTCACACACGCACACACATGCTGCTTTCAGGCACACATACACACACAGTTATTTCACACTACTTTTACACACTGATACACACACGGAAACACACACGTGTGCTGCAAAGATGGAAATAAGTGCTCCAGTCATTGTCATCTTCGAAATATCAAGTGACAAATAAATAGTGTTTCACTTTCAGTTTTGATGTTGGAATCTTTTAATTACCTAAATGTTTTGATATGTCACAATGTATCAAGATACTGTGTTGTTAGAATAACCATCAATTTCAGCTTTAAAAATAATATATATTAGAACTTTTAACTACCTAAATGTTTGGGTGTGTTACATTGTATCATGATATTGTTTTGTCAGAATAAGCATACCTACATTTCTATCTGTGTGCTTATGTACCTCCAGGTATGCTGCCCACCTGACTGCACTCAACAACAGAGCCGGCAGCGAGTCCCCCTACGCTACAGTCCACGACGAGGGTGCTAGGGTGTCCTACTCAAACATGAGGTACCCATGACCTATATCTACCACAGAAATACAATTAATATATCGTACAAATATATGAAAAATGGGACATTTTTTCATTTAGGACTGGGCTCAATAACGTTAATCTATGAATGAAAATATGACATAATAATCAAACACTAATAAATCTTTCAAGTTTCTCGAAAATATTCATCGAGCAATTGTTACAATATAAATACTTTAATGATTTTTGTATGCACCCATAAGTGTTGCCTTCTTGGCTGAAACAAAAACAAACATGGTCACATCAACAGAGAATCTTCTGCTACAAGCGAACACCACTATGCTACAGCTAATGACGAGGGTGCCAGCTTGCCGGTGCCAAGCTACAGGTCTGATGCTACAGCTGACTGTGTGGCTCTCGGGCAGGAAGAACACGTCCACATCTACACGGCTCTGCGCCCCCATGTTAGGCAGCAGGTGGGGGGTGGGAGAAGGAAGGCTGACACAGCGGGAGGATCACCACAAGCCGGGATAACACCTCCTCATCTCTGTATCCTCAACTCTCACAGGGCATGTCCTATGTGAAACATCCAGAGAAGGAACACGTTCCAGACACCCAAGCACGACTCAACTCTTCAACAGATTTTGTTACTATGTCCCTGTTTTGATGTAGATCTGAACATTACTATGTCCCTGTCTTGATGTAGATCTGAACGTTACTATGTCCCTGTGCTGATGTAGGTCTGAACGTTACTATGTCCCTGTCTTGATGTAGGTCTGAACGTTACTATGTCCCTGTCTTGATGTAGATCTGAACGTTATTATGTCCCTGTGCTGATGTAGGTCTGAACGTTACTATGTCCCTGTCTTGATGTAGGTCTGAACGTTACTATGTCCTTGTCTTGATGTAGGTCTGAACGTTACTATGTCCCTGTCTTGATGTAGATCTGAACGTTACTATGTCCCTGTCATGATGTAGATCTGAACGTTACTATGTCCTTGTCTTGATGTAGGTCTGAACGTTACTATGTCCCTGTCTTCCTGTAGATCTGAACATTACTAAGTCCCTGTCTTCATGTAGGTCTGAACGTTACTATGTCCTTGTCTTGATGTAGGTCTGAACGTTACTATGTTCCTGTCTTGATGTAGGTCTGAACGTTACTATGTCCTTGTCTTGATGTAGGTCTGAACGTTACTATGTCCTTGTCTTGATGTAGATCTGAACGTTACTATGTCCTTGTCTTGATGTAGATCTGAACGTTACTATGTCCCTGTCTTGATGTAGATCTGAACGTTACTATGTCCCTGTCTTGATGTAGGTCTGAACGTTACTATGTCCCTGTCTTGATGTAGGTCTGAACGTTACTATGTCCCTGTCTTGATGTAGATCTGAACGTTACTATGTCCCTGTCTTGATGTAGGTCTGAACGTTACTATGTCCCTGTCTTGATGTAGGTCTGAACGTTACTATGTTCCTGTCTTGATGTAGGTCTGAACGTTACTATGCCCTTGTCTTGATGTGGGTCAGAACGTTACTATGTCCCTGTCTTGATGTAGATCTGAACGTTACTATGTGCCTGTCTTGATGTAGGTCTGAACGTTACTATGCCCTTGTCTTGATGTGGGTCAGAACGTTACTATGTCCCTGTCTTGATGTAGATCTGAACGTTACTATGTCCTTGTCTTGATGTAGGTCTGAACGTTACTATGTCCCT